GGTTTTGTCAATCCTAAAGGTGCTAACAAAATGTGCAAGCTCCAGCGATCCATCTATGGACTGGTGCAAGCATCTCGGAGTTGGAATATACGCTTTGATAAGTTGATCAAAGCATATAGTTTTATATGGGCTTACGATGAAGCCTGTATTTACAATAAAGTGAGTGGGAGCACTACAGCCTTTCTGATTAGTATATGTGAGTAACATATTGTTGATCAGAAATGATGTAGAATTTTTCTGCAAAGCATAAAGGAGTGTTTTAAAGGAGTTCTTTAAAAAGAAAAGACCTCAGTAAAAGCTACTTATATATTGAGCATCAAGATCTATTGAGATAGATCAAGACGCTTGATAAGATTTTCAATGACTACATACCTTGGCAAGATTTTGAAATAGTTCAAAATGGAACAGTTAAAGAAAGAGTTCTTGCCTGTGTTGCAAAGGTATGAAATTGAGTAAGACTCAAATCCCGACCACAGCAGAAAATAGAAAGAGAATGAAAAGTCATTCCCTATGCCTCAGTCATAGGTTCTATAAAGTATGCTATGCTATGTACCAGACCTATTGTATACCTTGCTCTGTATTTGGCAAGGGAGTACAATAGTGATCTAGGAGTAGATCACTGGACATTGGTCAAGAATATCCTTAGTAAGGACTAAGGAGATGTTTCTCGATTATGGAGGTGATAAAAGAGTTTGTTGTAAAAGTTACATCAGTGCAAACTTTTACACTGATCCAGATGACTCTAAGTCTCAATCTGGATACATATTGAAAGTGGGAGCAATTAGCTAGAGTAGCTCCGCACAGAGCATTGTAGACATAGAATATTTGCAAAATACATACGGCTCTGAATGTGACAGACCCATTGACTAAGCTTCTCTCACGAGCAAAACATGATCACACCTTAGTACTCTTTGGATATTAATCACATAGCGATGTGAACTAGATTATTGACTCTAGTAAACCCTTTGGGTGTTGGTCACATGATGATGTGAACTATGGGTGTTAATCATATACAGATATGAATATTAGTGTTAAATCACATGACGATGTGAACTAGATTATTGACTCTAGTGCAAGTGGGAGACTGAAGGAAATATGCCCTAGAGGCAATAATAAAGTTATTATTTATTTCCTTATTTCATGATAAATGTTTATTATTCATGCTAGAATTGTATTAACCGGAAACATGATACATGTGTGAATACATAGACAAACAAAGTGTCACTAGTATGCCTCTACTTGACTAGCTCGTTAATCAAAGATGGTTATGTTTCCTAACCATGAACAATGAGTTGTTATTTGATTAACGAGGTCACATCATTAGTAGAATGATCTGATTGACATGACCCATTCCATTAGCTTAGCACCCGATCGTTTAGTATGTTGCTATTGCTTTCTTCATGACTTATACATGTTCCTATGACTATGAGATTATGCAACTCCCGTTTACCGGAGGAACACTTTGGGTACTACCAAACGTCACAACGTAACTGGGTGATTATAAAGGAGTACTACAGGTGTCTCCAATGGTCGATGTTGGGTTGGCGTATTTCGAGATTAGGATTTGTCACTCCGATTGTTGGAGAGGTATCTCTGGGCCCTCTCGGTAATACACATCACATAAGCCTTGCAAGCATTACAACTAATATGTTAGTTGTGAAGATGATGTATTACGGAACGAGTAAAGAGACTTGCCGGTAACGAGATTGAACTAGGTATTGGATACCGACGATCGAATCTCGGGCAAGTAACATACCGATGACAAAGGGAACAACGTATGTTGTTATGCGGTCTGACCGATAAAGATCTTCGTAGAATATGTAGGAGCCAATATGGGCATCCAGGTCCCGCTATTGGTTATTGACCAGAGACGTGTCTCGGTCATGTCTACATTGTTCTCGAACCCGTAGGGTCCGCACGCTTAAGGTTACGATGACAGTTATATTATGAGTTTATGCATTTTGATGTACCGAAGGTTGTTCGGAGTCCCGGATGTGATCACGGACATGACGAGGAGTCTCGAAATGGTCGAGACATAAAGATTGATATATTGGAAGTCTATGTTTGGACATCGGAAGTGTTCCGGGTGAAATCGGGATTTTACCGGGTTACCGGAACCCCCCGGGAGCCATATGGGCCATCATGGGCCTTAGTGGAAAGGAGAAAGGGGCAGCCCAAGGGGGCTGCGCGCCTCCCCCCTTCCCCTAGTCCTATTAGGACTAGGAGAGGTGGCCGGCCACCCCTCTCCCTCTTTCCCCCTTGGGAATCCTAGTTGGAATAGGATTGGAGGGGAGTCCTACTCCCGGTAGGAGTAGGACTCCTCCTGCGCCACCTCCTCCTGGCCGGCGCCTCCTCCCCCCCTTGGCTCCTTTATATACGGAGGCAGGGGCACCTCTAAACACACAAGTTGACACAAGTTGATCCACGTGATCGATTCCTTAGCCGTGTGCGGTGCCCCCTGCCACCATATTCCTCGATAATACTGTAGCGGAGTTTAGGCGAAGCCCTGCTGCTGTAGTTCATCAAGATCGTCACCACGCCGTCGTGCTGACGGAACTCTTCCCCGACACTTTGCTGGATCGGAGTCCGGGGATCGTCATCGAGCTGAACGTGTGCTCGAACTCGGAGGTGCCGTAGTTTCGGTGCTTGATCGATTGGATCGTGAAGACGTACGACTACTTCCTCTATGTCGTGTCATCGCTTCCGCAGTCGGTCTGCGTAGGGTACGTAGACAATACTCTTCCCCTCGTTGCTATGCATCACATGATCTTGCGTGTGCGTAGGAAATTTTTTGAAATTACTACGAAACCCAACAATAAAAGCATGATGCAAAATGGACGTATCAAGCATCATCTAAGGGGATTGCATTGGCATCATGATTAGAAACAACAGACCCATCAGGACATACCATAGTGGCAGTGTTATTATTCTTATGTTGTAGTGTGGCCACAGAGTGAAGAAAACCTGGAATTCTCACTTCATAAAGGCACCCATTTAATTTTGCCCTCTATTACCGATAGACTTTCTATGCTGATGCAACAAAGTCAAGTGAGCCTCAAGATCTTTCCTAAGAGCATATTCTGAATTTTTTAGTAGAGTCAATCAGGGCAATCAGAGGATTGACATCAGTAATATTCCTCCTTAAGAATAGATAAGATTTTGGTCCAAGTTTTAAGAATTTTTTGAGAATCTCCATTTTTTTGCATTAATCCTCTTAGTAGCATCTGCACAGTGAATGCTCTTAGTCCAAACCGACTTCACTAAAGGCAGAAATTGGCCATGATCCATCCACCAATTTTCAAACCTTAAAATGTTGCTCTTGGGCATAGAGGTTTTAATGTGAATAACATGAGGCACATGGTGAGAAGCTATCATAGCTAAAGTAAAGGGTAAAGCACTATAATGTCTAGGATGTTACGTGAAGAACCAGTCCAGTCTCTCTAAAAAAGGGCTAGATTGCATATTGCTCCAGATGAATTTCCCGCTTTGAAGTGGGATATCAACGATACCAAGTTGACTAATTACTACATTGGAATGCAACATGTCACTGAAATTCCCTCCAGGTTTTCTTCTATCATCAAAGCTTCCAATGAGGTGAAATCTCCTAGAAGCAGCCAATCTACATCATCAGGGATATGAGTACCATCGAAGCAACTAAGGAATTCTGATTTTTCATCATCCTGTCATGGAGCGTGGATGTTTGGGAGAGTCTAACATTTCCCACATTTTGTTTGATTGAAGCACTACATATATTGCAAATTCATTATGAAAAAAGAGCTCTCCTTTGTATTGAAACAACGAGAATTCCACCAGATCTAACAACAAATGGAAAAAGGGAAGGAATCAAATACTAGACGATAAAATTTCCTAATGAAGGGTATATTAATATGCTCTTTTTAGTTCCCCAGAAACACACCACAGTGCAACCACTCTCTTCAATCTTGTTTTGAATATGCAACCATTTATCTGGGGAGTTCAAACCTCAATATTTTAATTAAGAACTTTCCAGGATTATGTTGTCATTGAAGAATTCCTAAAAAAGAAGTTGACATTGCAAGAAACCACAAGCCATTGCATTAGACAATGGATCAGAGACTGAGTAGCACTAGGACTTGGAATAGGACCAGTGCTAGGATAGGATCAAAGCCTAGATAGGATCAGGCATAAGCAAGTAAACATTCAAATAATGCACACAACAAACGTAGAGGTCATAACCAAACCTGACATAGGATTGGTATATGCTATCAGAAAAGACCATAATATTTCATAGTAGATATAGATTCTGAAAGAAGAGGGCTAAGAAAAGATCCGCGCAAAGAAACACCAGGATGCAACCTATACATGCTTTCACAAGTGTTTTTGATTCATATATATGAAAATATACTAAATGTGTCCTATGATATGCTCTGGTAGCACGTTTATTATGTTGCCAAACCGAATCTAGCTTAATGAAAATTGCTTAATAACCTAAGAAGAACAACCTTTTTTTTTCTTTTTATAAGCATCATTGGAATTCAAAGATGCAAAGCACGTCGGAGTAGAGTCTCATGCTGGATGAGAAAACTAAGAACATGGTTGAACACTACAATAATATCGCGATGCCAAACAAGAATGTAGCTAGTCACTTGACAATGCAAAGTTACCATGATGTTCCACCCATGGGATTAGTTTAGGCATTATATTTAACCGAAGCATGGCAGTAGCAATTAACTATGTCAACCCGCACATGACCTGTTCCATTATGCATGAATGCGATGTTAATCTACGATCGGAAATCACATGGTGAAGTTTATGCGAAGGAACCCAGAAAAGCAGAGGAAATTACCAGGCGAGTCCACGCCGCCACCTCCGCACGCAGTGAAGGTGAGGACGTGAGGTCGAGAGGACTTGGTTTGATTGAACACCAGTCTGATACCAATCAGATCGGCAGCAGCGGCAGCGGCAGCGGCTGCATCTGCATCTCCGCCCCGGCCCCAGAGCCCCACCCCGCCGCGCCGGCCATGTCTCCCTCCGGGGAGGTGGTCGCCTCCGTCTCCTCCGCGCTCGCCGTCCTGCTCGTCCTCCTCGCCTGCGTCGAGCTCGGCGACGCGGCCGCCGCCGTCGGCGTCTACCGCCTCATCCAGTACGACCTCGCCGGCGCCCCGCTCGGCTCCCGCGCCGCCGCGCTCAACCACCACGCCGCCGCCTTCCCGCTCCCCGCGGGGGCTGACCTCTCCCGCTCCGCGCTCGTCGCGCCGCTGCTCGACCTCCCGCTCTCCTTCCTCCGAGGTACTCCTGCCCTCCCCCTTTTTTCGCGCCATCCTCCTAGTACCAGCACGCTGTAGTAGATGAGACGAGCTCTTCACCGGCTCTAGCTAAAATTGAGCTCGATCTGTGTGCCACTTCGCATTGCCGATCGAGATGTGTAGTGTTGGCGATATACTTTCCGATCTCGTAAGATTCCGATGTCGACGTGTATCAGTTACTTTCGTGTTTCTACATGGCACATGCTGCTCGTTTAGTTACAGCAACCGGGTCGTAGCCAGGATAAGCTCTATTTATGGGCTTTAGTATGCCTTCAGTTATCATCTGACTTGTTTGCTACTTTTGCCAAAATGTATGCACTCACTCATGTGGCATTACGAACTGTCGAGTCATGGCATCTAAACTACAACAATCATGACTCAACGATGATGTTCCATCATGCATGAACCATCCGAAAAAGATCATGTTTCTTCAATGAACCACAGTATTAATTATTTATTTTGCACATGGAATTTGATTGAAATAATAGTGTTGACAAACTGCTGTTTCATTACCTACTACTCAGAGTACCTGTCAGAGAAAAAACATCTTGGAGGGTTGCTCATTCTGCTCCCGAGAAACATCAGCGCTAAGAATGTTGAGGGAAACAACGATGACAAGGGGGAACCAAAGAATGTGCTGGCTGAGCTAGAAAAGTTGCTCATGCATGAAGAAGTGCCGGTAAGTTATAAATTTGTTAGGCAACTATGTCTATCTTTGCTTGTGATTTATATGTTCCATTACTTATACAGTATCTAGTTAGTTATATCACACAGCTCCACAGATATAATATTTAGAAGTACAAATTATAACACTATAAATATGCTTTGAACTTCTGCAATCTGTTTTGTAAATTTGTATTTGGCAATGTAGCTCAACAAAAATAATACAGTTATAGTTGCATTTGAAATCCTGATTGGTGCTTTTAGCTGTTAACCAAACTTCTCTTTGTTTTGAAGGATGCACGCTTTAAATTGCTATTGGTACAGCACCAACAGTTTCTGTGACCCCCATTGCAGTATAACATTGTTTTTATAAATAGTGATCTTTCCTTCAGATTTGCTAATGTTTTTTTTCCAGTCTAAATGTCCTGCTTCCTCTTTGTTCAGTGATCAACTTTTTAAATATGATATAATATTTTGGCTAACTCATGTGCATTACTCTATGCAGTTTCCAGTGTACTTCGCTTTCCATGATGACAATTTGGATAACCTATTGGCAGATATTCGTAAAATTGCCTCTTCAGGCCAGCCAGCCTCTGCATCAACAGGAGGGTAATACTTGAAGACGAAACTCAGCATACTCTCGAGTGTCCAGCATTTTGCACTATAATTAGTGTAACACTTGACTATAAATTGTCAGCCTCCTGCATGGTCTTGATTGTCTTTTGGACTTGTAGATACAAGCTTGTAGTGCCTTCTGCGGAACCTAAAAGGGTGTCATCTCCAACCATTTCAAATATCCAGGTAGCTGCTCTGACATGAATTTACTGTCTACTTTCGCATTCATCAGGTTGATCTTATTTACTTTATAATTCACTGCAACATCTTATAGATCTGTTTTCTTTTGGAACAAACAATTAAGTAGACCATGAAGAATGGCTGGCTATATGCCAGAAGTGATCGCTACACCTGATATCTGACTCTTACAAATTTAATAGTGTTTCCCATCTTTCATGAGATGTCAACAGGACTAAGTTTAATATCTTTGAGTTGCAGGGATGGTTACCTGGATCGAGAGGAGAGGGTGATGCTGAACAGCTTCCAACCATTGCCATAGTTGCAAACTATGACACTTTTGGTGCTGCACCTGTATGTAACCCAGGAAAAATGTTTCAAGAATCTTTGATATTATTTTCAGTATTTTCGTAATACATATGTTTTTAGGCGCTTTCCGTGGGAAGTGATAGCAATGGAAGTGGAGCTGTGGCTCTTCTAGAAATTGCAAGGATCTTTTCACGCCTCTATTCAAGTCCTAAGACCAGAGGCAAGTTTAATCTTCTCTTTGGATTAACATCTGGCGGACCCTACAATTACAATGGAACTAGCAAGGTTAGTGATCATCTTGCGCCATTATGAAAGCCTTCTGGTGCATATTCATGGTCAACTCACAGCTGTATGGTTTTCAAATTTTGTTACAGTGGCTTAGAAGTTTCGATCAGCGTGTACGCGAGAGTATTGACTATGCAATTTGCTTGAATAGCGTTGGTTCCTGGAGCAATGATCTCTGGATGCATGTATCAAAGCCTCCAGAGAACCCTTACATCAAGCAAATCTTTGAAGTACAGTAGCCATTTCAAGTTTTTCGGTCCATAACCTCAGTTGTCTGCAATGATAAGTCGATTCACAACTCGAAGTTTCTTTGCTTCAGGATTTTTCAGATGTCTCCAAGGAAATGGGCATTTCAGTCGGCATCAAGCACAAGAAAATTAATGTGTCAAATTCTAGAGTATGTTCTTGCCTTTTGAAGGATTGTACACCTTCATTAGGCTTGGATCCCATCAGGATTTCAGATAATCCATCTTACATGTACTTACTGTCAGTACTAGCATGATGGCATTTGAAATACTTATTGGTGAATCAATTCTTCTGGCATGGTAGCCTGACATAGTATTTCGAGCGCAGGATCAAGAATTAGCTTAGTATTGGCATGAGGGCTGGTTTAGAAACGAGTTCAGAACTATTCCCTCCGTTTCTAAATACAAGACCTTTTAGAGATTTCAATACGACTACATACGGATGTATATAGACATATTTTAGAGTGTAGATTCACTCATTTTGCTCCGTATGTAGTCTGCATTGAAATCTCTAAAAAGCCTTATATTTAGGAACGGAGGGAGTATATGCTATTTCTAGAAGTTAATATGCTGTTTTAGTATTTACATTTTGGAATCTAGAAGCCTTTTACTGCTTTAGTATTGCTGATTAACTATTCTATTTCGTTAAACTTTCAAGCTTGCCAAGTGACATGCTTGCAATCTTGCAGGTAGCATGGGAACATGAGCAATTCTCGAGGTTTAGGGTGACTGCGCTAACTCTTTCGGAATTGTCTACACCTCCTGAATTTTTGGAAAGCACTGGTGGTCTGTACGACACTAGGTGAAGTCACTTCTAATACACCCTAATTCTTTTTTCACTGTCTTAGTTTTTAATATTTTACTTGCATTTTCCTTCTTTCAGAGAATCAGCAGATGTTGAGTCAGTAATGAGAACTGTCAAATTAGTTTCTGAGAGTCTTGCGGTAAGCTAAATCATTTGCTCTGATTTTTTTTTTCATTTTACTTTGCACACAGTAGTTAGATAATATTGATGAAGTTATCGTTTCTTCAGTGTTAGATGTATATGTGTTAATGGTTTGTAGACATTTTTTCCATGTAAGAATTTCCAATGGGCAAGTGACCGCTTCTGTTATACATCTCTTTTCGGTGTATCCACAAATATTCATTCAATATTTGTTTCTTTGGGAAAACGTGTTTGTACGGACTAATTGAATTTTTAGTTTGGTTAGAAATTTAGATTTAAATATCCACAGCAGTAGCATGTATGTAGGATAATATAACTGTTCAACTGGTTTTAACTTAGCATGAAGTTTCTCTGGAAATATGTCAACACAAAGTTGATCGAGTTATTTTAGTGCTTCAGTTACACTCAAATGTCTAGCTGCATAGAAATACCAGTTTAGGAGATTCTGCCGTCCATCCATGTTACAATGGTTTCGTGTTATAAGCATGTTTGAATGTGATGCAAAAAAACATTAAAAATGCAAATTGTTGCTATGATGAGTGTTTGGAAGAACTAAAGTTACTGATTACATCTTGCTTTCTTCTGAACCAGGATTCTTATAGTTAGACAAAGGTTTAGGAGATTCTGCTATTCATCCATGTTACAATGGTTTTATGTTATAAGCATGTGTGATGCTAAAAATCATTAGAAATGTAAATTGCTGCTATGATAATTGTTTGGAAGAGTTAAAGTCACTGGTTACCTCTTGCTCTTTTCTGAACCAGGATTCTTAGTTAGACGAAGGTTTAGGAGATTCGGCTGTTCATCCACACTACAATTGTTTCATGTGATACTGTTATTTAGGTAGCGTGTTTGTTTGAATTTGATGCAAGAAATTATTAGGTAAGCAAAATGCCGCTATGATGATTGATCGGAAGAACTAAAGTTACTGGCTGCCTCTTGCTCTTTTCTAAATCAGGATTCTTATAATTAGACGAAGGTTTAGGAGATTCTGCCGTCCATCCATGTTTCAGTTGTTTCGTGTTATTCAGGTGGCATGTTTGAATGTTAAAATGATTAGATGTGCAAAATGCTGCTATAATAAGTGATTGGAAGAACTAAAGTTACCGTCCGCCTTTTGCTCTTTTCTGAACCAAGATTCTTATAATTAGATGAAGTCTGATATTATACTAATAGTGCCTCTTCACAGAGACAAATCTACAGGTTGAGAGGAAGGAACATTGATGTTTTTGCTGATAACAGCAGCTTAGCCATCAGTCCTCACTACATCCGGTCCTGGTTGGATCTTTTTTCACGGACACCACGGGTTGCACCTTTTCTTCAGAAGAATGACCCCTTCATTGTAGCACTTAAAAAGGTTGCGTACCTTCTATCAGTGATCTCATCTAGTTCACCTTGTTCATAGTTTCCTCGCAAGACATGACACTATCTATGTATTGGTGCAGGAACTGTCCGAGCATACAACTGATGTGCATGTTCAAAATGACGTCCTTGATGGCATGTTCACTTTCTATGATGCAACAAAGTCAACTTTAAACGTATACCAGGTAAGTGTGTAAGCTTCATGCCACACTTCTCCATGTTTGGATATCGCCTTTTAATTTCAGAATGACATAAAAGTGTACTGAGCATATATATAGCCTCTAGATTGGTAGTGCTGTTAGAGTACGTAATGGGCCTAATGGGCCCATTAGTCTTAGGGTTAATTAGAGATAAGGGTCGCTTGCTTAGGGGTCAAGTAAGCCTTGCTTGGGAGTCAAGTAAACCTCTCTATATAAAGAGAGGAGATGTATCAATCTAATCAAGCAAGAATTAAGAAGGAAATCCCTTCCATCTTGCCCGGCCGTGGGCAAAAGGCCCCCGGCCGGCCCTCTCGCGCCCTCCTTTTAGCAGCGCCATAACAATTTGGTATCAGCTAGCTTCGTTCGATCATGTCTTCGCCGCCGCCCTCCTCAACACTTCCGCCGCCGATCGCCACGTCGCCCCCTGTCCTCACACCGGAGGAGATGACCGGGGTGCTGCGTGCCCTAACCCTGGCGGTCCAGGACATCCAGCTCTACTTGATCGGATCCTACGGGCCGCCGCCGGCCGCCGCCACCACCGGGCCGTCATGGCTGCCGTGGCAGCCGCCGGCCCTGGCGGCCTCCGCCGCGTTTGCCGGGTCGCTGCAGCCCCAGCTGCAGTTTCCGCCGCCACCCGCCACCACCGGGCCGCCCTTGCTGCCATGGCAGCCGCCACTTTTGCCGGACTCCGCCGCGGTCGCCGGCCAGCTGCAGCAGCAGCCCTGGCTGTCGAGGCAGCCGCCGCTCTTGGCGGCCTCCGCCACACCCTTCGGCCCGCTGCAGCCGCCAGCACCTACTGAACTTACATCTGGATCATATTCAAGATCTTATGTTGAGCAAATAGTACAGCGAGGGGATAATAGACCTTCTGGGAGCAAGCAGGCATTGGAGATGCTGCAACATGCACAGCAAAAGCATGGTTATGGATCCAACGCCTACTTGAGCGAGGATGGGTCATACTCTTAGGCTCAGGACAACTATGCCCCCTCGTACCACCAGAACGGGAAGGCCCCTGATTTCCACGCCGAGGAGCCGAGGCCGCTGGCATACAACAGCGGCGTTGTGGAAAGGCCGCCGCCGCCTCAGCACCAGTGGGTGCCCCCTCAGCCTCCAGGTGTTGCCATGCCAGAAGCGGCGGCCGCCATCCGTCAACAGAAGTCCCTTACGAAGCAACCGTCCAGCGACATGTCCGAGGCGACGGTGAGGCTGCCGGCTGCTGCGCGCGGCCTCCTTGCGCAGCCCTCCTCAACACTGCGTAGTTTGCAGCTGCCGCTCCTCCAAGTTGCCCTTCGCTGTGCGACAGACCTCGATCTCGGCCGCTGCGTCGGGGATCTTGGGCATGCGGTTTCCCCCATAAACGGGCATGCTGTTTTCCTCGCGGGCAGTGACCTCAAAGTCTGCGACATCGGCGGTTGGGGGAGCGCACCCCTCCTCGACAGGAGCGGACCGCGTAACACCACTGCATTCCGCCGCCGGCCGCCGCGAGGGCGCCTCCGCTGGTCGCTCTTGCAACCACTTCCAGGTGGCCATACACATGCACTGCCTTCGTCCAGATGGTGTCCATGGGATCCAGGTGGCTGTACACGTGCACGTTCGATGTGTGGAGGGTGTTCACTTTTTTGTTAAGGAGTCCAAAATAAAGCGTCCCAGTCCATTTCAGGCTGAGAGTAATAAAACAAGCCGAGATGTAAAAGGCTTGTTTTTAGGTGTTAGGTTTGTGTCGCGTCGAGTCATGGTTATAAGTTGGTTAGGCTGCAGCTCGAGGACAAGCTGCATGTCCAGGTGGGGTGTAGTGTTAGAGTACGTAATGGGCCTAATGGGCCCATTAGTCTTAGGGTTAATTAGAGATAAGGGTCGCTTGCTTAGGGGTCAAGTAAGCCTTGCTTGGGAGTCAAGTAAACCTCTCTATATAAAGAGAGGAGATGTATCAATCTAATCAAGCAAGAATTAAGAAGGAAATCCCTTCCATCTTGCCCGGCCGTGGGCAAAAGGCCCCCGGCCGGCCCTCTCGCGCCCTCCTTCTAGCAGCGCCATAACAAGTGCCTTGTGATGTGTCATCCATGGATTTTAAGTTTTACATCCACCTTTTATGTTGCTTTTATTAGATATCACCATCACCACATTGAAATGACCTCAACCGGCCTTTTATTGTTCAAATTCACAGGTTGCAAGTGTTACTTTCGACCTGTTGTTCCTTCTGGTGCTCGGTTCCTATCTAATTGTTCTCTTCAGTTTCCTAGTAATCACAACACGGGTATGGACCGATTCATTTCTGTAAACATAACTAGAAGCTTTCTTTCCCTGCACTGAGATGATACGTTTTCTCTTGAACAGGGCCTCGACGATCTCATTAACATATTCCGGCGGCCTCCATCACGTAAAGTCAAGGGAGCATAGACTAGATCATCATGTTTTGTGTATTAGTAACGAGGAGAAGTGCATGCCTAGTTAGAAGAGCTAGACACCAGGATTTACGAAAAGCTAAGCTTTCCACAACAGATAGACCTGTAATTTTCAGAATTACCCTTTGTTCTCTAGCCAATGTGAGCGGCATCAGATTCTCCAGGGCGAAAACATTTTCTTCTGCACACAAGGAATTTTGACTGTAATTTGTTGTCTGTTATTTTTTTTTTCATTTCTGGCTACTGTGAAGTAGAAGGCCTATCTGCATAATCATCGTGGCAGTGTGTTACTATGTTATGTATGGATAGAAAGCACCACTCTGTACTCCCAAATCTGTACTTGGGTACAGTGAGATACATCTTCTGAATACACTCAAAGCAGAACTGCATCCTGCTTCATATACCTTGTTTTAATGTACTTCTAATGGCTTGGGATGCATGATTCCCTCAAGTATGCCGGCTAAGCAATGACATAGGACTTAGATGTGCAATATTTAGGGCACATATGGATGTGCTTTAGCAAAACTGGCTGGCTAATCACCGAGGTTTACAGTACTACCTCCGTCTTGGTTTATAGGTCCTCATTGTAGTTTGTGTCAAATTTTAACTAAAGATTTAACTAACAAAATGTTAATGCATGTCAAAAAAAATTATTTTATTGAATTTGTATTTGAACATAGTTTTTCAAAAATATAATGTTTGGTGACATGCGTGAACATTTTGTTAGTTTAATTTATGGTCAAAATTTGGCACGAAAAACCCGGACGGAGGTAGTACGAAGTTGTAGCCAAATTAAGCGGGGTGTCAAGAATGACATCAGGTCTGTTGGCCTCTCAAATACACATCTCTTGATGTGCCGCCAGTTTTCCTGTCGAGCATGCAAATTTCCTGATGAATTCTTTACTTTAGCCCTCTTTTGTAAAATTTCATCAGATTTCCGTCCTGCAAAACTCCAGGATATACGTAGTGCTATCAATGTTGAGCTACTCCCTTCGTCACAGTTTAGAAGACACAGTTAAATTTGCGTGCGTTTTCACAATAGACAAGGTTTAGAGCGCATTGCATTTATTTCTAGTATGTACTATTCCTATATGCATGCGTAATGTGAATGCTATTTTTTAGTCCATCCCACAGCCAATAGATAACCACCTAGGTCCTAGAGAATTTGCAAGTGCGCATTCTAAAAAGACGGAAGAAGTACTAAGGAAGTAATAACACCTAAAGAACCTAGAGCAAAGACCTAACTGATTGCTATCAATATTGAGCTACTCCCTCCATTCCCTTATATAAGGCCACAAACTCATATTACAGGCACCAAGAAAAAAATTTAATGACTCATTTGCAAGTCAATTTTTTTCTTTTAGTTAACCGGGATCATTAATACACCACAAACATGCAACGAATGAATGGGAAGAAAGTGGTGGAGTGTCATTATGACTACATACATGTAAGTATTAAAAAGTTGTTAGTACGAGAAAACATCATTAAATTTTGCCTCGATTACTGTTGGTGGCCTTGTATTGATGCAAAATGTATTTTTGATAGTTGCCTTGTATAAGGGAATGGAGGGAGTACTAAGGAAGTAATAACACCTAAAGAACCTAGAGCAAAGACCTAACTGAAAATGAATCGAATTGTGATTGTGTAAGGCCATTATGCCCATGCCCTATTCAACCTCCCCCAGGAGTATGAGCTTCTATAGTGTGAATTCTGAATTGTCCGAACTACATAGAAGGAAATTTCTATTTGGTAGTCTAAGTTTCTCGATGCCAAAAAATGCATGGACGCTGTACTGCATTAATCAACCAGCCGAACACTGAACAAGATAAAGGAACTCAGAGGACGTATGCCGTCGTGGACGTTGGTCAAATACTACGACCATCTTTCTAATCTCAAACATGGGATACGAGACATTAAGCAATATGGAAACAGTTTACCTATCAAGATACTACCAGTAGACTAAATGTTTAGCCAAACATGGCGAAAGAAAATCTCTCAAGCTCACCCCTAAATACGCATACGGTATATGATGCTAACCTAAAAGATACCGCACCAACTATCAACTAATCAAGCTGCTACCAAAAACACAACGCATCATGGAACGTAGTCCTGATCGAGAAATTCCATCAAAGGTTGCTCCAGCGCCTCCATTACAGCCTCCCACCCAGCATGTGTCGGGTGTGTCTCGTCCCAGTAGAACCTCTTGTCGGGATTTTGGCATAGGTCGTAGATGTGCGGTGGATGTGCAAGCTCGTGCGTTCCCCGCCTAGATTCTGAATGTGGGTGCACGTTTCAGTCTCCCAAGCGACAGTGGGCTTTGGGTGTTTGATATGAAATGGTGATCAAAATGCTGCGGAAAAACCATCAGTTGCTTAGTTTTGTGCTCCTATATATCTCTGCTTGGATGGCACTTGTACTGGAAGTGTGACTTTGGTGCGCCATTCCGTGTTGCATACTCCCTCCGTCTCAAGTCCAAAGTTATTGTGCTAAATCAGCGACACTTATTTTAAGACGGAGGGAGTACTGAATTTGTGTTGATCATCACCTTCCCCTGTGTGGAATGGTGATAGCACACGCTTGCATGCGTTGTTCAGTGTTGAGGGTATTGTGCACAATAGTCATCAGACCACCGACGTTATCCAACAGCTCCAGGATGCTGTAGTAGTATCTGCTTTCAGAACAGGTGTTGGAGATGAGCTCTGATGGTGGGCGCAGCCATGGAAAGTGCAAGCGGCTCTTGTTCTCTCTTGCTGCTTGGCACCATGTGAGTAGTGGCGTATCATCTTGTTGCCAAAGGCCAAGGTTAGGTGGGCGTCACGGCGACTCTCCCCTGGATACTTGCAGATTATATGTACGACCAAATGTCGTCAACAAAAACCACATTGCACAACAAATTATTGTGAGTGAAAAGCCAAGTTCCATGTCAAAATGACACGGAACGTGACTAGATGTCAGGGTGCAATGCTGAGGCTATGTTGAGCACACCTAACACAAGAAGCCATCAACTGACAGCAGTTCGTTTACAACATGCCATTGCACAAGCGGCGGCATCAGGAGCATCTCTACTGTTTCTAATGCTAGCATGGCATCGTAAGCAACCACGCCGTCGTAGACCTCCGGCCAGTCCCCATGCTATCACAGCATCGCATGCAACCACGCCGCCAGAGATCTCTGGCAAGTCCTCATGCTAACACATGGCATCATATGCAACCATACTGTCAGAGAAGATCTCTTGTCAGTCCTCGTCCATGACATCAAGAGCAGGTATTCGTCTGAAGCGTCCGCCGTGCCTTAGGTCTCCTGATATTGGCGATCTTGACTCGATCCTTTTCTTCTTAGGCGTAGAATGTTCGCCGGCTACTGATTCAAAGAGTTCTCCCATATTTGACATGTTGGGCCTCTTCTTATCCGGCTCCTCTTTCAGGAAACTGAACACACGCACCCGTAGCAAATGTTAGCATGTTGCAAGTCTACATTCAGATACTGAGCACTGTTTCACTTACTAAAGAGTTACAACCCAGAAAGAAAAATGTCAGTTCCAAGGAAAGCAACAAAGTGTACCTCTCCCGGATGATCTTAAACGCTGCCATTGTTGCATAAGGTAATCCTGTCTTTGGATCACGGTATCTACAAGGAAGTAAAACCTCAAATAAGATTATCACTTCAAATACAACCATGGAGACATAACCCACTCTCGGCTTGTAACAGAATGCATCAGTTCAGGTGATACTAATGTAGGAGTATGTTCATTTCAAATCACTGAATCAAGTACTCCCTCCAATCCATATTACTTGTCGCTCAAACGGATGTATCTAGACGTATTTCAGTGCTAGATACACCCATTTGAGCGACAAGAAATATGGATCTGAGGGAGTACTACCTTTGCTATTTCATCACGACAGAATACACTGAAGAGTACAACAATTGCTAGAACTAGGGTGTGCACAAAAATAATTCAGGCAATGCAATTTGTATCGGATTGTACATAATCTGACACTCTCTAACCAACAGACATATATATATATATATATATATACATACTCCCTCCGTCCGGAAATACTTGTCCTCAAAATGGTTGTATCTAGACTTATTTTAATTATAGATACATCTATTTTATCAATTTCTAGGACAAGTATTTCCGGACGGAGGGAGTATATATATATCACAATAAAACAAACCACCACCAGCCGACACTGCACTGTAAAAACACGCAGCCATTAAACAACAGAAACATGTGTGCATAATTTTATCAAGTGAAATATGTAATTGTATAAACATGGAAGGAAGCTCCAACTTCACATACAAGGGAAAAGGAACAGGAATTAAGGAATGAGCAAATTAGTGTACAGAAAACATACTTGGCAGGAAGTCCTGTTACAACGCAAACAGATTTCTCCGGATCTGCAATAACAAAAATTAATACAAGACTACATTGAATTCAAACTGCCAGATAAATAAAAATGTACAGCACCAAAGAGAAATCAATACTTACAAGGAGTTGAAGTCGTACAAAGTTCAGACCCAAATGATGCCCCATTAATGAATTCCAGACGTGATTCCCCTGATTCAGCATGATCATAACTAGTAATCAGCACGCGTAGGATACATGTTCTTATAATTGAAACAGGAAGCACAAAAAGGAGCAGCTTCTAAGTTCAGTATTCACATGTAAGCAGATATGCATATAGTAGTTACCATCTCTCGAGTGAAATCGAAGTGTAGGACCCTCATAGACAGCTTTCTGAACAACAGCTTTTTTCTTCACCTCCTCCTCTCTTGCCAGTACACGTTCAAGATTTCTCATGTTCATGATCTCTAAAATAGACAAAGGTAAAATAGTCAATCAACACTGGCAGGTTCCATCTTTATCTTTGGGAAAGGCACAGTGAACCGGGAAACAGACCAGTTTCAGCTGCTTCCAAGAGCATCTCTTCTTGTGTCATACGTTTTTCTTCTCCCTCTTTTCTCTTCTTAATTGGCTGGCAGTATAAAAGA